TGGAGGGGCCGGCCCCTCCCGCGCTGACCCCCCTCTCCCCAGGGCTTCTTCAAGCGCACGGTGCAGAACAACAAGCACTACACGTGCACCGAGAGCCAGAGCTGCAAGATCGACAAGACGCAGCGCAAGCGCTGTCCCTTCTGCCGCTTCCAGAAGTGCCTGACGGTGGGGATGCGCCTGGAAGGTGCGCGCTGCGCGGGGCCCGCAGACCCCAGACTTCCAACAGAGCGGGTGGGGGCGCGATGGGCGAAGGGGTGCAGACAGGGAGCCCCAGGCCTTCTTAAAGTTTCTGGGTCCCGGGTGACGATGGAGCCCATCTCTTCCGGGAAGAGGTAAGAACTGGCCTCGGTGTGGTCCGGGGAGGGATGTATGCAGGACCAGCCAGAGCTGAGTTGGGAAGGATCTGAATGTGAGCCCCAGGGAGACCAGCCGTTCCCCAGCCCCTGAAAGGGCTGAGCAGCACAGGCTAGAGCCCCGCACAGCTCCTCCCTCTGCGAAAAGTTCTGCAACACCCGCAGTGACACCCAACGCCAGCTGGAGTTGGGGCTTTCAGTGACTTTGCCAGAGTCCAAGTCCCAATGCCACCACTTACAGGCTGGGTGACGTTAGGCAAGATCCTTAACCTCTCTGAGCTGCAGATTTCCCATCTGCCAAACGGGCTTCACAGCAGTGCCTTCTTCACTGAGTTAGTGTGAGAGAATTGTACGAATAGCTCCTGGCACAGGGTCAGTGCCCAACAGGTTAGCTATTCTTCTTCTTCTTCATGTGATTACCTGCCTGCCCTCATCTGTCCATTCGTCCCAAGAATTCACTCCGTTCACTCACTCAGCGGGTGCGGTTCCTCCCCACCTTTTTCAGCCAGACCCTGGCAGACCTGGGGAGTGGGGAACCATTGCCCCCAGAGGACCCAGGCCCATCCTTGCCTCCCACCCCCACCCCCAGCTCTCAGTCCAGAGGCGAGGAAAGACAGTTCAGCAGGAAGGACTCATGCTCTTTGAGGGTGGACGGTCCTAGGCTTCTACCCTGCTGGCCCCAGCCAGGCTGTGCACCGAGCAGGCAGCTGTCGGCTAAAGTTTTCAAACAACATAGAAGGCCCCTAGTGACAGAGCTGCAGACCACTCTCTTGCTACCTAGAGGAAGGATTCCTGATGGGAGCTCTCTTGTCCTGTCCCCAGAGCCCATGCCCCCAGATCCAAGTCCTGAGTGGGCAGGAGAGCTGGTTGTTGTGAGCAGCAGAAACCCCTGGTGGCAGACACCTGAGGTTTTGAAGCAGGGCTGCCTGCCCACCCCTGGCAGCAAGGTTTGCTGTGCAGGCCCCCAAGACTCAACCCTTTCTGAGCATCGCCCTCTCCCTCCTGCTCTCTCCCTCCTCCCAGAGCCTAGGGTGGGGTCCCTGTCTGAGCAAGGGTTGGGGTCACACTACAGCTTCAGAGATTTAAGTCTGACTAGTGACATATTCTTGGCTAGGCAGAAGGACATCTGGTCAACAAAGGAGGTCCCTTCCTCAGCACAGAGGGCCAGCCTTAAACTGAGCTTCAAATTTGAAAGTAATGGAGAAAGTGCAAGTCATTCTGCAACAAGGGTTCACCAGAGTCAACGAGTCAGTAACAGCTGGATCCTGGGGCCCAGCTGTGAACAAAGTTGTCCAGGGCCCACTTTCTGTCACAATCTCCCTGCCAGGCCTTGTGCTGGGCACCTGAACTCATTGCTGAGCCCCCAGGAGCTCTCAGCCTGGGTCACATGGCATGATACCACTCAGCAGGATGAAAGTAGGCAAGGGGCAGGACATCTGGGGTGAGGACAGTGGATTCTGTCTGGGCAAATCCAGGAATGCTTCATGGAGGTGGTGACCTGAGGGCTGGGTGTTTATCAGACAGAAGAGAAGGAAAGGGTTTGAGGTAAAAGGAATATCAAAGGGAAGGTGGAAGAAGAAATGCCAAGTTGAGGAACAGAGAGATGAATAAGGTGGAGTGGAAAGAACACAGGGTCTCATGAGGGACACCCTAGAAAGGTGAGCAGGGCCTTGAATGGCGCATGAAGGTGACTGACTTCACCTGCAGGCCGAGGGAGCCATAACAGGGCACCGAGCTGGGGAGTGACACAGTCCGATCTGCTTGGGAGAGATCTGAGAGAGATGGTATGGAGGGTGGCTTGAAGGGGGTGAGCCTGACCCCCACCTCTGCCCACAGCTGTACGTGCTGACCGCATGCGGGGCGGCCGGAACAAATTTGGGCCCATGTACAAGAGGGACCGGGCCCTGAAGCAGCAGAAGAAGGCACAGATTCGAGCCAATGGCTTCAAGATGGAGACAGGCCCCCCAGTGGGGGTACCCCCACTGCCTCCTCCCCCACCGGACTACATGCTACCCCCTGGCCTGCACGGCCCAGAGCCCAAGGGCCTGGGCTCTGGTCCCCCTGCTGGGCCCCTGGGCGACTTTGGGGCCCCAGCACTGCCCATGGCCGTGCCTGGTGCCCACGGGCCCCTGGCTGGCTACCTCTATCCCACCTTCCCTGGCCGTGCCATCAAGTCAGAGTACCCAGAGCCCTACGCCAGCCCACCGCAGCCCGGGCCGCCCTATGGCTACCCAGAGCCCTTCTCTGGAGGGCCTGGCGTGCCCGAGCTCATCCTGCAGCTGCTGCAGCTGGAGCCAGATGAGGACCAGGTGCGGGCGCGCATCCTGGGCTGCCTGCAGGAACCAACCAAAGGCCGCTCCGACCAGCCTGCGCCCTTCAGCCTCCTGTGCAGGATGGCTGACCAGACCTTCATCTCCATCGTCGACTGGGCACGCAGGTGCATGGTCTTCAAGGAGCTGGAGGTGAGTCCCTCCTCCCACCTGTCTGGCAGCTGGATCTGGGGTGTCCTCTTGGCTACCCAAGCCTCAGTCTCGGTCACTCCTTGGATGGGGCCCATTGGCTTTAGGCACCATCTGGCGACAGGGAGACACTGAGGAGTATTTCTGGTCCGTCTCAGCCTTCCTTGCCTCCCCACTCATCCCCTCCCTCCCTCTCCTTCTCTGTTTCTTGAGTCCCTGTCTTTCAGAGACTCTGCTGCTTTTATCTCTGCCTCTCTCCTCTCCCGCTCCTCTCTCTCTCTCCCTGGTGTGCTATCTCTCTGCTTCTCTGTGTTTCTCCAGCCCTTTTTGTCTCTGTTTCTCTCCTAGTCTGGGTCTCTATAGGCACTTATCTCTCTTCCTCTGAGACCCTAGGCTCCCAAAGGACTAGCTGAGTCCTTGGGAGACTCTCTGGCTGCCCCAGGCCAATGTCAGGAAGAGGGTCTAACCAATCCTCTCTTTCCATTTGGAGAAGCCACCGATCCCTGCCAGCTTCAGATGTCACAGGTGGGAGTCTAAGTATCTCAGAGTTTGGAATGCTTACGGGCCTCCAAATCCAGCCAAGACCCATCTTCCCTGGCCTGGGCACAGGCCCTCTTTAGTCCAGGCCTATCGGTGTTTGCCTTTCCCAGGCCCACCCCGCTAGCTGTTCCAGGGCTGGGTGTAAACAGCAGGACCTGTTGCCCTCCCTGCTGGGGCCACTGCAGCCTTGAGCAGCATTGTCAGTGCTGACGCCACTCAGGCCTGGGCTTCCTCCAGGGGCAGGTGGCCGGATGGGCCGGGGGCACTGCCTGCTGGGCTGGGCATGGGGGGGGCAATACGGTGGGGACTGGGTACTGAGCCCTTGAGGCATCATGGGGCCGGCCGGGGACCCGGATTACTCTGGGAGTCAAGAATTGGTGGTGGTGGCCCCTGATTCCATTGTAGAGGGCCTGTCTTGGCTGAGGCCTGGGGATATGCCATGTGTCATGGAATGGGTGGGGCTTTTCACCCCTGCCTCCCCCCTGGGCTGCCCTCATGGATGGGACAAGAGGCAGGGCCTTGAACAATCCCATCTGCCTCCTACTCATGGCTGGAGGCCCTAGTGGGGATGGAGATCCCAGGACCTTTGGGTCGGTGGCCAGACTTCCCTTGAGCCCCCTGTGCAGAAGGGAGGAAGAGCAGAGCATTCCCGGCCTTCCAGAACCCTGGGTCCCGGGGCAGGGCACTTCCTCTGGCCGCCTTCCTAGTCTCTCGGGGGTTTTCACGCAGGATGGGAAGGGCTTTTGTCCCAGCTTTGCTGAGTGTTTTTTCCTGCTTCTGGCTTCTCTGTGGTCCAAACCTTCCTGCTTCCCCTTCCCAAAGTCTCTGAATTGAGCCCAGGAATATGAACCGTGGTCACCACCCTCTGTAAGGGAGCCTTGCAGATAAGTACCAGCCCAGCCCTTAGAGGGCGTCTCACCAGCCATGAGGAGCTTGTTTCCCACTAGTCCACCTCCCACAGGTGGTGAGGCAGAGAAGTGAGAGGGGTGCTGAGTGACCTGTTCTCCCTTTTGGCTGACCATTCTTCCCCCCAGCTCCAGGCAGGATACATTTTAGTAGACAGCAAAGGGGGCTCCCTAGCTCTGAGAGTTGGGTAGCCCTTGGGCTGGACGCCGAGGACATTGGACCCAGGAGCCTGCCAGACTAGAGGAAGAAACAGACATGCACACAGATGACACCCAAGCAGGGTGCCCAGGGCTCTGAGAGCAATGGGAAGGGGCCGAGGGAGCCCCAGCTGGAGAGCCAATGGCCCTGTCTAAGGAAGTTAGGGAAGGTTCTTTGATCTGTGTCTTTCCAGAACACAGCCTGAGAAGGTTAAGGGATTTCAGGAAGTGGGAACAGCGTAGGCTAAGGCCCAGAAGTGGGGGAAGGCGTCGTGTGTCAGGGAGCTCCAGGTGGCCCTATGGGGCAGGGCTGGAGAGGTTGGCAGGGTCAAAAGCAGAGCTTGGGCCAGGATGGGTCCTTTGGCAGCGAGTGATGGACAGCCGACCAGGGCTGGCTGGGACCCCACATCGTCTTTCCAGAGGCCCACTCAGCTCTCTATGAAGCTGATCATGTCTTGATGCCCAGCAGAAGGCCTTGGGTCTTTGCTGAGCTGTCGAGATGCTGGGAGCTCGGATGTTGGGGCTTCCAATGCCCTTTTGTGGTTCTTCTCCTCCATCCTGTCTCCCAGCTTGGATGTGCCTCCATTTTTCCATCTCACACATCATGGCACATTAGGTCTGACAGTGGCACTGAAGTTAACAGCAAAGACCAGAATCAGAGAGGCCTGGGTTCAAGTCCCAGCTCTGCCACTTACCAGGTGCGTGACTTTGGGCAAGTCACTTTACTCCTCCGGGCCTCCGCTTCCTTATCTGTAAAATGGGGAGAGTTGAAATACTATCCACCTCATAGGGTTGTTGTAAGGATTTAGTGAGCCAAGACAGGTAAAGAATTTAACACAGGGAGCAGCAGCTCCCTTCCTGGCTGCTCTATGATTTAATCTATACTTGCAGTTGGTATGCAGCCCTGGCTAGGAAGAGTGTGAAAAGATACATTGTCCATGCGCCTCTGAGCGCTGGAGTTCTGGGAGAAGAGGGGGCCCACCTGGCCCTGGGTGTATGAAGCAACTTCATGCCTGCCAAGTAGCAGAAACCCACCTGTACCTGCTGCTCAGTGGGGGGCAGTGTGCAGGCCCAGTCAGCCAGCCTGTCTGGACAGTTCCCATGAAGGACAGGCTGGAAGGATGCAAGACAGGAATCAGGGAGGGGGAGGCGAGGGCCAAGGGTGCTAATGACCCATCTCGACATCACTTCACCCCAACATCCCGCTCCGAGGCCCCTGATTGGCAACAGATTTAACTGCTCAGATCTATGGTTTCATTTAAGCGGCAGTAACTGTCAGTCCTGGACTGACAAACGGCGGGAGAGGGCCGTGGCCAGCCCGTGGCACGTCAGCCACTGGAGAATTACAGAGCCCGCTGGCCTTCGGCCGCCAGACCGATCAGACCCCAGGGGGCTCCAGAGGGGGGCCTGCTGGGAGGGAGGTCAGCTCTGCACCCATAAATACCCCATCTCCCAGGCAGGCTGCAAAGTGTCAAGGCTCCAGGAAGATTTGTGGAGACGGCAGGAGGGCTGAGTGGCTGGTGGGCCAGGGAACAGGCTAGGCTGAGGAGGGACCCCAGGGCCTGGACGGCAAACATCCTTGCTCCCAGGACGGCAGGGAGGACTGGGGCAGAAGAGGAGCCTTTTGCTTAGGGAGAAACTTGTGGAAGGTGTAACCAACCCTCTTTGGTTAAGTGAGCCTCTTAGCCACCTGCTTTCCCGTGGAGAGGGGCTGGCGGCTGTGGCCCTCTGGCTTTCTTTTAAATAAAATAAGAAGTGTGTGTGAGTGTGTGTGTGTGTGTGTGTGTGTGTGTGTGTGCGCTCATCTGTGTGGGGAGTGTTTTGGAGTTTGATGTCTTTATGTATCCATCTGTCCATTTAGGGGAAGAGAGAGTAAAAAGCCTGGCAGGAAAGATTGCCTGGCTGGGGGCACCGTACCCGGGAGGGCCAGCCACGGCCCACAGAGTGCTCCGACCGCCGTCACTGCGAACACGCCGTTTTCTCTAACCCAGAGAAGGAAGACTTATTTCCCCATTTCTCGGAATAGGAATCAGGGTTGAGAAGGACATGTGGCTGAGAGAAATTATACCAAGGGCACTGGGTGCCAAAGCTTAGCCACCATTTTGCCCGCCTCTGCCCCTGCCACCCCTATCGCCCCCTGGGCAGGGCCGCCCCCACTCCGGGGGCCTGAGGTCTGGGTGCAGAGTCGGCTCCAGGGCTTGGCCAGCCGGGTCACTGTGACCCCTTCTCTTTTCTGCCCGAGGCTCCGCCTGCTTATCTCCCAATTCTCCCCTTATCTCTCACTCTTCCTTCAATCAGGCACAAGGGTGTCTGCTCCCGAGGGCCCCCATGGGTGGGGGGCAGAGCCTAACCCTGCATGTCCTCCCTCCTGTGCCTCCAACTGGGTCACCCAAGGTGGGCCAGTGTCACTCCTGGGCTGGCCCCAAGTACTTCCCAGCCCCCTCTCCCAAGACCAGCCCAGTTCTGAGGGCCTCTGGGCAGAGCCCAGCTCCCTGTGTGTCCCCGGGGCAAACTGTTTCCTTCTCTGGAATGTGGGGAGAATGTCGAGAGGGCAAAGGTGAGGAGTCCTAGCCGAGCTGGGGTCCGGGCCTGGTCATGGGCACCCACTGAGCCTGGCCTCCCTCCCTGGAAACTGTCGGGGAGGCTTCCTGCCAACTCCCTGGGACTGGCCACTGCGGAGGACAACGAAGGTGAGACAAGGAGAGTTGTCTTCGTGATTCACCCTTGCCTGGTTCTCAGTGTCCCCTGACCCCTGCGGTCGAGGATAGTTGTGGCCGAGCTGGGGGTTCCCCGGCTGCGTTCCTGTTTGGACAGTAACGGGGCTCTAGGAGGAACTTTCTGCCCGAGAGGAGGGAGAGGTTTGGGTTCTTGACATGAGGACAGGGTGAGGCAGGGGACTCAGCAGGATGGCGACTGGCCCTCCCTCCTGTCCTCAGCCACGTGGGTTGGGGCGGGGTGGGCAGGAGAGCCCAGGGGAGGCCTGACCGTGCATCCTGCTGCTCGCTTTGCTCTTCGCCCACTTTCTGTGTCCCTCTGTCTGCCCGAGGACAGCCCCAGGACTGCCCCCAGTAGAGGAGGGCAACAGAGAGGAAAGGGTGGCTTCTACCCCACAGAAGAGAAAACTGTTCCCTAGGCGGGGCCAGTTCCGCTCCGCCCAGGGGCTTCCTGGACCCCTGTGGCCTCCAGGTTAGGGGCAGTTCCTCTGTGCTCTCTGTGCCTGTCTGGGGGGCACACGCTGGTCCATCAGCTGCTCATTGACCCTTCCTATGGGGCCCAGTCTTGCCTTCCCAGATCCCACAGCTACTGGGGAGAACAGAGGCATGAATAATGCCATCGGATGCTGCAGGTGCCACATCCACAGGATGGCGAGGGCATCAAGCCAGGAGGAAGGGCTGGTGAGGGCTTCATGGTAAAGAGTGTGCCGTGAAACCCTGGGTGGCAGGGCAGGTCTTACTCCACACCGGGAGGCTAAGAGCTCGCAGCTAGAGCCAGCCAGCTGTGTGACCCTGGGCAGATCACTGGACACCTGTGGGCTCAGCTCCTCTCTCCATAGACGGGGACAACTATACCAACCTCACGGGGCTGTGGGAGCTGCAGTACAGCGATTTGCATCTCCCCAGGGCGGTGCCCAGGAAGGTGCTCCGGAGATACAGCCGGGTAGATGGTGGCTGGTGGGGGAGCTGCAGAGGCTGAGAGGGACTAGGCCTGTATTGTGTCTTCCTAGGATGGCCTACAGCACCCAGTGGCAGTTCTGAACACCCAGGAAGGCTCAGTATTTGTCACAGTGGGGAATAGTGGACTGAGAGTACCAGCCCTGGCCCTGGCCTAGCTCTGCCTGTCTGTGATCCCAGGAAGGTCCCTCTCCCTCTCTGGGTGGCAGATTCTTCATTTCAAACACAGTGGTTTAGGTCAGGGCATCCCTCAGAGCCCTCCTGGCTCAGTCATTGCACGGTTCTGCGTCTTGCACCCCACTGTTATGAGTGTCCACTCTTGCCATGTTGAAGGCATCCATCCCAAGAGTGGAGGGACACTACCCCAGGGCAGCCGCCACCCCCTTTGCACCAAGTGCCCCAGCCATAGTCTGAGTGTTTGCAATCTGGTCACTGTTCTGTTCCTGCTTCAGACGTCAGACCACTGATCACTCCCTGGGCTGGACCAAGGGCCCTCCTTTCTTGTCCTGAGCCTGAGGCCCAGGGAAATCCCTCTGTTTCCTCTTCATGGCTTATTTTTTGAGTGATTGGGGCTGTTAGAGATGTGACCACAGGACAAATGGGCACACGTTCAAATTAATAATGCTCTTCCCTTGCACTTGAATCGGTCCTTCACAAAGCACTTCTGTGGCTATTGTGCACCAGCATTTATTGAGTGCTGTGTGCCGGGCCATCTTCTAATACTGTGCCCACTTTACAGATGAGAACACTGAGGCCCAGAAAGGTTACAGAACTTGCTAAAGGTCATACAACTTGTAAGCGACTGGGGCCTCTAATTATTTTGCTAGAGCCCTGCCACACTTTGATGGAGTAGACAGATGGGTAGACCTGGCACAGAGAAGTTAAGCAGCTTGTCCAAGTTACATACCCAATGGAACCTGAGCACTGACAGTGGGAGGAGGAGGGGTGAGAGGACGGTCCCCTGCCAGACCATGGACATGGACCCAGGTGTGCCTCTTCCCTGCAGGTGGCCGACCAGATGACGCTGCTGCAGAACTGCTGGAGCGAGCTGCTGGTGTTTGACCACATCTACCGCCAGATCCAACATGGCAAGGAGGACAGCATCCTGCTGGTCATCGGGCAGGAGGTGACAGACCCACCATGCCCTGCCCCACCCCACTGTTCACGCCCAGAATTCTGGGCCCAGAAGAGGTCCCAGGCTTCTCCAGGGCTGGCTCTGAGCAACCTGAATATCAGGCCTTTCCCCAAGTTCATGGGATACCCACCAGCGTGACCTCCTCCTGACCAGCCCTGGCCATGGCCTTGAGAGGGAGCAGCCCCTGGGAATTCTGCTCTGGGGGAAGCAGCTCAGGGGTGTTGGGAGGGTTGGGGGGCTCTTGGAGGAGGTGATGGTGCCATCAGATCTTGGTAAGATAGTAAAAGGTGTTGGGGGGCATCTCCACCTCCACCACAGGCAGAGAGGAGAGCATGGGAAAGGCTCAGAGAGGGACATTTAGAACTCCTGAGCCTCCAGGAGCCACTGGTATGCTGGACTGTGGGTTTGGGCGACCCTGTGGGGTGGGGGACAAGGTAAGAGATAAGACTGGAGGGGTTGCTAGGGGCTAGATTGGGCAAGACTTTGCAGGCCCTAAATCCTCAGTGAGTGAATGAATGAATGAATGAATGAACCAGTGGAGTGGAGGGGTCTGGGCACAAAGAGCTCATAGTCAGAATTTAGACACCCCCCCCCCC